ACTTATTTTAAATATTTGATAAATAATATGAAGATCGCCGTTTAAAGGCAATTTCATCATCCGGCGTAACTCACAATCCTTAAGAGGAGATATAAGAAAATATCCGAAAGATCTTGTGTTCTCCGAAAGATAGCTTTGCAATCATACCGTATTTATACTGGATGTACAGCCAACTACATGAAGAAGCGGTCAAAGTTGCGAGATTTTTGACGCTGCAATCGATATCTCTTGCTTAGTGTAACTATTACGGCAAATCCATGTCCAGATTTACTTATTTACAAATATGGGTGACAGACGAGTACACAATCCTCCTGATGGTATACGGATGTTCTAGCTTATAGACACCTTCAGCTATCCTCGATTAATAATCAAAATGTAGATGCGTTGTTACCCTGATACAAAGGAGCATGCGGCTAACATGATGGTAAGTGACTACCGGCGCCCAGAAACAACTGCAAAACGACCTTTTAGAAAGGAGTAAGCTTTTTCTTGAAGGTCCCTAAGTCGTATCGGTCAACAACGTACAAAGAGGTCGTACGTGGAAGAAAACTTCTAGTAAAACACAGTGATGGTCCACCAAGCATCCAAATGTGTGGATGGTATCGTGAGTGTTAACACGAGGATAGATGTAGATGTCTATGGATCACAGCAACGACTTACCACCAAGTGGACTGTGTGCTCGCTTGTTACCCTTATTCTATAAAAAAAGAAATGCTTGTTTGTGCATATCCACGTGTGAAATTTCTACTACAAAGTATTAGTATTCTGTGCCTCCAAATAATTTGTTATTTCAATTATTATGGTATCCATAAAAATAAATTGTGTTTAGGCTATAACGTACGTACAATGATACTTAAACAGATTTGTTGCTTCTTATATATTTGGAAATTTAACATATAAAAGTACGACACTTTGTAAAAATATATTGTTTATTTTTACTTTGTGACAATAGTTTGTGTGTACATAATAAATTATTAAAATAATAAAAGTACAACATGTTTTAATTTTTAATCGTCTAAAGCAATATAACATTACACATAGAACCGGAATTCAAATCTGGAGTTCATTGTGTGAATTAATGCAGTAATATATTTTATATATTTACTAGCTGGTCTGACAGGCGTTGTTCTGCTCTTTCCGATAGGTTTGTTTCATTTAGCTGAGTGTAATTCTGAATTCACTCCGGACTTTTACAAACTGAATGTAATATTTATTAATTAATTGATTACAGTGCTACCTGGTGGTTTCAAATAACTTGATGACTTTCTTTTTTCACCTATCACTTTACACTAACAAGTCATATATGCTATACGTAAGTCATTAAATATAGAATTAGTTAATAACTGGTTTACAGCGCCACTATTCGGATTTTAGCGTAGATATGAACCATTTTGTCGACAATACAAATATATTGTGTAAATATGGTCTCCGGGAAGTCACACGATGTTAGTACAGACAATTACGAACCACCGATTATTTAATAAAAGAAATATTTCAAAATATTAAACTAATTTTATTTTAAATAAGACTTGCTTAAAGATTCATATTATGTGAAATGAACTTGTTGTAGTTAATTTAATAGATTTTATATCATCAATGACTTTTTAAAGATTTTACAATTTTTGTATTTTTATACAGTAGCGTGGATCAATATCCTGGTAAAGACAATAATAAAGAGATTAGAATTAGTTTTCTAGTGGAATTCTTAATGCCTGTCTAGGTATAGAAGTGAATGGCACTAAGTTCGCTCCACCTGTCTGGTTGGATCGACTTAGCGGGAAGCATAAGCATGGCAGTTACGAGACGACGTAGTGACGATTGTACTCGTACTGAGACATAACGTCATTACCCGTACACTCACTTTCTTGACTCTAGGAAATGGACTTGATTTAAATAGAACTGTAGAATGTAGTCAGTTTTTGATGAATTTATAATCTATTTAATCGTACCAATATTAAATACTGCAATTAAATGACATAAATATTTAAATGTAACTTCTGTAATGTGTAGACTAGAATATTGTGTACCTAATGTCGACAGCAATGGTCAACGTTAACACACAAATGAGTTTATGTTTATACAAAATCTATTTGTATTTGCAATAATTTATGGTAAATAAATGACAATAAATAAATTTTTATACGTGGTAGAGCCATGCTGCAGCTATATTAGTAGTATAGTTGTAGCACGAATGGGTCGTATGGCCACGATCTCACAGAATATCAGCATAAAATAGCAGCTAAACCCTGTTGTGTTTCGTATGGTGAGTGTAGAGAATGGAAGACCCTTTTTACTGGAAAAGAGGCATTCCATCTTAGTCCTTACGGGTGACAACGCATCTGCATTTTAATTCGCAAACAAGGATGAATGTAGATGTAGATGATGTCTATGGGCTACAGCAACCACTGCCACTGGTGGCCATACCACAGCAACCACTTACAATCAGGTGGACTCTGTGCTCGTTTGTCTCCCTATCCTATAAAAAAAATACAATATAATATATTGCGTATTTTTTTTTCTTTAGAATAATACAATTAAAATTTGTGTGAAAATATTTTATTATCAAACTAAAGAAAAATGAAAACCTAAAACACCGTTCAAGTTAGAATGAACCATGCGTTCGTTAAATTATTCTCGAAAAAGTTACGATATTTTACGAACGTGTGGGAAACCGAGCTCTTCAGCGAGATCAGTCGGCGCACGATTTATAGAGTGAGTTATTTATTTTACATTACAAATTGATCAATCATTGGCAGCTAGAATTTTTTTTTCTATTTTTACATCGGCCTGTCCGACACGCGTTATGATATCAACTGGAGGAATTAAACTCAGCATCGATGTTTCAATTTATCGGTTACTTTATTGACTGGCCTGTTGGTCTAGTGGTTAGTGACCCTGACTGCTACGCCGGAGGTCGTTGGTTCGATTCCCACCCAGGACAAATGTTTGTGTGACGAGCCCGATCATTTGTTCTGTGTCTGGGTGTAATTTATCTATAATATTTATGTATTTAGAAATATATAAGTATGTTTATCAGTTGTCTAGTACCCATAACACAAGCTCTGCTTAGCTTGGGACTAGATGGCGTTGTTTGATAGTTGTGGAATGTTATTATTATTATTATTGGGGTATCTATAAAGTTTTCTCATCTGGTTGGGCAGTATAAATATATAATTGTAAATGAAAATGGTAAACATACATAAATATGAATAAAATAAAATAAATACATAAAAAATACATAAATATATAAAAACCCAACCAGATGGAAGCCCTCGGCAGGGGAGACCAGACGGCCGAGGGTTAGGGGGAAAGGGAAAGAAACCGGCGGACGATGCGGGCGGTATCGAGGAGCACCGCCTTCTGCATTTGAGCCTGGAGCGGTCCGTCACGGAGTCCCAGTCGCCTCAGATGACCCGGGAGGCTGACTGGGATTAACCCATTCGCAGAAACGACCACAGGAATAATTTCGGTCGGCAGACCACCCCACATGCCGGTAACCTCGTGAGCCAGGTCCAGATATTTTGTCACCTTATCTGTTTCGGCTTTCACGAGGTTCTCGTCATAAGGAATGGTAATGTCGACCAAAAAGATCCTTGACTGTGCCCGGTCCATCAGCACAATATCAGGCTTATTCGCAAGAATAGTCCTGTCTGTGATGATGGCCCGGTCCCAGTAGAGCCTGGCGCGGTCATTTTCGAGCACGGCTTCCGGCAAGTACTTATAATTATTATTATTATTATTATTATTATAGTCGTGTACTTTATAAAACTTACTTTTTCTAGGGTGGTTTATCTACTTTAAAGTTTCGTTATATATTAGTAAAGAATTTAGGGCTATAGTCTATTAAAAATGAGGTGAATGATATTGTTTATATATTATATGGATTTATGTATGTAGTGGCATGAATAAAACAGAAATGTTCATAGGAATCCCAGAAAATGAGAAATGCAAATGAAAACATGGACATATTAGGTTAATGACGGTAATCCACCTTGAATAAATCTAATATATAAAAATTAATGTTTGTTTGTTCTTATTTTATGCGCTGTCATACCGTTCACCACATTGCGCTAGAACTTTGTCAATTTATTGCTTGCTCTTACGCGAAGGTTATGGACATAGTACAATTAACTTACAGTAGGTGGCGCGCGTATCGTACTGACAAATTTAATATATAATTGAAGTTGAATTGTATATTACTTTCTTCAACTTTAAGTATAATTACATATAATCATATAATTCAACTTCAATTATGAATTATCATTTCTAATCAAACATTATAACTCTTCCAAACTGAGAACGATAAGTATTTCTACAGTTATTTCTTCTGTGCTAGGTAGTACCTTATAAAATTGATTATTGTAATTTAATTAAACTAAACATTGAGTAATAAACCTGTACTTTTGGTTGCCCTTTTTTATTATTACATCTGCCTCCCCGATACGAGTAGAGTAGAGTAGTGATATATAAAGATTTTGAACAAAGATTTTTAAAGATTAAACTAGACATCGATGGTTCAATTTATACTTAACTTTTAGTCATAAAACCTAGGGTTAACGTATCCAGGGCGGTTTATTTACTTCGTATTAATTAACTTTGTAATCAAAAGTATTTTTTTATATAGAATAAGGATGAGAAACGAGCACACAGTCCACCTGATGGTAAGTGGATGCTGCCGCCCATATACATCTACATCTATCCTCGTTTGCGAATCAAAATGCAGATGCGTTGTCAGCCGCGATGACTAAGATGGAATGCCTCGTTTCGAGTAAAAGGGGTCTTCAGTTGTCTACATTTACCACACGAAACATAGCAGTATTAAGCCGCTATTTTACGCTGTTATTCTGTGAGAGTATGGCCCTACCCCGGTCCTGTGCTGCAACTATAATATAGCTGCGGCGTGGCTCTACCACGTTATGATACCACGTTTTTTTTTTTGTAAATGTAATAAATAATTTTTGTTTACTGTAATTTTTAATTTTAAATGTCTTTCTTTACAGATCCCAAGAAGATGTGCTATTTATCAAACAAAGAAAATGACAGTTGATGGAATCACGTGAAGCATAAAAGTTTTGTTTCCTTTCCTAATATTTTTACTACAATTTGATAGTGCAGTTAACTTAAAGTTAAATACAGTTTTACTAGAATTATTACAAATTACAGACTGATTTAAGTGATTGTACGTTAGATTAGTGCTCATATTGTATTGGTGATTGAATCTATCCCAATCAATATGTTGTTTCAAGGGCCTCTTCTGTTCCACGTATTCATAATGTGAGTATAATGCGGCACATGTTTTGATTCTGTTTATCGTTATTAATCAAGATGCTTATAATGCTTATTAAAGCGATATAGGGATTTTTAGGCGCCGGGTTCATAGATTGTTGTTATGTAACTGATCTTAATTACATTGTATTATAGGATTTTTTATTTTATAAAATATTATATTTATGAATAATATATTATTGAATATTTATAGGAAAAAAAAAACTTATGAAGACATAAAATTTTCACAAACACAAAATTCATGATGATTGAGACATCATAAATTTGCTACTGGTACAAATTTATGTACTCTAACAATATTTGGAGGCGGAGCCGCAACTACCATAATTACAGGCTCTTGAGGCATTTCATCTCATCAAATCAGAAGTGACAACGCACCTGTAGGCTTCTATGAAGTTAGTTATATTGATTGCAGACATTATCCTATAAAAAATACGTAAAAAGTAGTGCAGTAGTGTGTGATAGCGTGGCTTAGTGATAGTATTTATTTGAAATCCCAGATGACCGTTTTTCTGCAAAACCAGAAATTATTGCTTTAAAGGTTTGTGTGTATTGGGTGTATATATTAATTCAATTTCATTGATATTTTTTTCTGATATTTTAACTCTCTAAATGATAAAAGATATATTATTTGGTACTGTAAGTGACTATGAATAAAAAGTACATCCATTTTCGCCGAGCATTGCAATATGAACTAACCTTGTACTGTTATTACTCTGCGCAGAGAATATCAGTTGTATTAGAATATTGCTTTTTTTATAGAATAAGGGCTACAAACGAGCACACAGTCCACCTGATGGTAAGTGGTTGCTGTAGCCCATAGACATCTACATCTATCCTCAATAAAGACTCAAGATGCAGATGCGTTGTCACCCGTGAGGACTAAGATGGAATGCCTCTTTGCCAGTAAAAAGGGTCTCCGGTTCTCTACACTTACCATACGAAACACAGCAGCATTACGCTGCTATTTTACGCTGGTTTTCTGTGAGAGCGTGGTCCTTCCCCGGGCGAGCAGACCCATTCGTACTACAACTATACTACTAATATAGCTGCAGCATGGCTCTACCACGTAAGTGTAAGTGGGTGCTGTAGCCCACGAACATTTACATTTATCCTCAATTAAGAATCAAAATGCAGATACGTTGTCACCCCCTAAGGACAGCGATATAATGCCTCGTTTCCATTAAAAAGGGTTTCCGGTTCTCTACACTCACCATACGAAACACAGCAGCAGCTGCTACTTTGCGCTGATATTCTGTGAGAGCGTGGTTCTACCCCGGTCGAGCCGACCCATTCGTGCTACAACCAAAATATAGCTGCTGCGTGGCTCTACCACGATGAAAGTTACGTGATAGGATTTAATACGGATAGAATAACACACTATCTATCATCAAATAAAAATGAAAATATACTTCGAAATATTAAGTCCGTGTTTGATCGAAAGGACACAACTCGATTTAAACTGTCTGTTTCGTGTCTAGCTTAGGTTGTAGATTTTATTGAAATTTATTGCTTTGACTATAAACATAAAACTAAACCATAAACAAGTCGTAAACACGGATTTAAAGAAAGCATAATAGGGTCTGTGTGTTTTGTCATTTAACCTCCATATTGACACCTACCAGTATCAAAAGCCGTGCTAACACCCCGAGCTTTATATTATGATTTATTTCAGTGTTACGGCGCATCATTAAAAGATTGGTAGGCCGTTGTAAAATGATCCGAAGCCACTTCGGGTGTATGTCGTTATTGTTTTTAAGATTTATTTTATGACTTTATCAACAGTAATAAAATTATTTAAACGTTTTGGTCGTAAATATATTTTTTGTTCATAAATTTTTAAATTAAATTAATTTGTATTTAAAATCAAAATTTTTTTACGCTGCGCCGCGACGATGAGTTATTTTAATTTGTCACGGAAAGTGGAAATAAGTAGAAGACTATCTAAGCATGAAATCACCTTTTAAAAACAACTATGAAATATTTTATTCGTATTTGAAAATTTTGCCACTGGCTAAGTGAGTAGAGTATCTGACTCACTGAGCCGAGTGTCAATAAGATAATTTAAAATTAAAAATTTTGTAACTTGAATTTAAATTATTAAGAATAACTCAAAAACTATTGGACAGACCTTCAGTAAATTTATATAGGACCACATGAAAAGCACTACTAGCTATCAAATAAAAAAACAATCATTAAATCTGCTGTGTTTCTTATGGTGAGTGCAAAGAACCAGAGACTCCTTTTACTGGAAATGAGGCATTCCATCGTAGTCCTCAGGGGTGACAACGCAGTTACATTTTGATTCTTAATCGAAGATAAATGTATATGTCTATGGCCCACTGCATCCACTCACCATCAGGTGGACTGTGTGCTCGTTTGTCACCCCATTATATAAAAAAAATTGTACTTTAACTTAAAAGTTTTTACAGTGTTAATTACAATAATAATATTTCCTCAATCTTAATTTAATGTTTAACTTTTTATATTTTGTATTTTTTTAACTTTTTGTCACATCTCGACCTAGCGATTATTGACTTAACCACAGATGATTTACTCGTAATAAAATACTTCTTTGAATATTTACTTTGTTTCTAACAAGCGGCAAAATCTAGGCGGAATACGAAAATAGATTATACATGGAAACTACCATATTATAACGCTTTTACGCGGTTTAATTGAAAACTATTACTGCAATGACTGCATTTAAATACGTTGTTACTAGTGAGAACGCAATGTTAAATCCCGTTTTAATATTTACTCATAAGCTTAAGACCTATATTAACGTACTGCTGCTATTTTAAAAGCAGATATTCCGTCGCTCGAACCATTCATCTGTAGGCTCTGTAGGTGTTAGGTCATAGATATGTAGGCTCTAGTAATATGGGTTCGATTTCCGATAGAATATCAATTACTATAATCATTGGTTTACATAATCGAGTGTAAATTTTAATAAGCGATAACTCATTCTTTATCTCTAACCATTATCTACTATTAACTTAATAGCCTATCAAAAGTCCACTGCTAAACATAGGCCTGCCCCATAGACATAGCTACGAGTATATTTGCCAAGCGGGCTTGGTTCCGCAACTGCAGTTTTTTTTTATTTAGTTGTTATCAGGAAGGTGCTGCTACCCCTCCCCTAATTGAGCTAACTTTTGTCGTGTCTTAGGACACCCATGGAATGGTATGGGGTAGTAGACATTCTTACACCGACTTTCTCTTTAATATTTAATTTTAATCTAGCTTTGGACCTTTATGTATCATAGCACGCAAGCAACCCGGTGCGATATCCGTCGGCAACAATGAAATTGTTAATTGCAATTTTAAAAAACCGATTTACTACGTAATCGGCATGGAAGGAAAACATATTTACCAAGCCTGTATGTTTCTATATTTCAAGGACATGTAAAGTCCGCTAAAGCACATTGCAGCAGTGATATTTGTGTTTCAGAAAATAAACATAAAAGTTATAGGAAGCCTACGTTTGGCTGAGGAACATACAGATATTATACTATACTTTAAGATGTGCGCATCAAAATAAGGCAGCAACTGTCATAGAACAAAAATACGCAGCAACTATGAAGCGCATAGAACTCAACAGGCAGACAATGTACGCTGCAACGTAATACGTAGCCGATTACCTATGAATAACGTATTTATACACACTTGGCAGCCGGGTTGGCAACTGGAGATTGTATATCCCCCTATGAGGCAATTTATGTTCAGAAGTTGTTTAAAGTTACTGCCTATAAAAATTCTAATGCTTAACATAGACTTTCCCCATAGCTTGCCGTTATAACCTATCAAAATTCCACCGCTAAACACAGACTTCCTCATAGGCAGCCTCATAGTGGGAATATTTGCTACAGTTGCCCCTCTTGGCAAACATGTTTGCAACTGCAGTTTTTCGAACGAAGTTCTTTATCGGACGTATTTGGCGGATGGGAGCTAGGTGACATAAAGTGTAAGATTTTTGCGTCACGACCCCTTCTGACTTAGTGTAGACGGCCTTGGCGGCTATAAGGAAGCGAGATGGAATAATATCCATCTCCCTCGCACTTTTTCTTATCTTGCCATGAAAGAAATATTATTTTATTTTAAATGATGCTTCAATTCAACAGTATAATACGTTTATCAATAATAATATACTACGAAGGGAACTTCGTTCCAACCGAGTGTTCCACGACACTCACTTATGTTTTTATTTTTTATTTTTAGTAGTTATTAGGAAGATGGATTAGATATTAAGATTTTGCACGCTGTAAGCACAACGCTATGTTCTACTAGTGCCTAAAAGTCAAGATTCCAACGTTTTGTCGCATGAAATTGTATCTAGCAATCATATTATACATGGCAGTTTAATTTTGTTTTGTTTAGTTATAATTATTTTTTTCGGCTGCTAAATGTTGAAATTTGTGGTTTTTTAGCAGCCTTGTGTGATTTTATTTTAGTAAATAGACTGACTCACTTGGTTAGTTCGGCGTCAACCGCCGTTTTGAGTGTATATTGTATTAGTTATTTGTAGCGGCTCAAAAAGATCGCTGTACAAATAAATACAAAATATTAGAAAAACAAATTTCTTACTATTTTATATTACTTGATTATTATAATAATCAGAGATTTTTACTACAATATTTTAAAAGCACATCGTTTATACGTGGTAGAGCCATGCTGCACCTATATTAGTAGTATAGTTGTAGCACGAATGGGTCGGCTCGACCGGGGAAGGACCACGCTCTCACAGAATACCAGCGTAAAATAGCAGCTTGGCACTGCTGTGTTTCGCATGGTAGAGAACGGGAGACATCTTAGTCCTCACGGGTGACAACGCATCTGTATTTTGATTCGCAAACTAGGATAGATGTAGATGTCTATGGGCCACAGCAACCACTTACCATCAAGTGGACTGTGTGCTCGTTTATCACCCTATTCTATAAAAAAATACTAAAAGTAAGTAGGATGTAATATTTATACTTAAATACGTC